CAGAATGATCAAAGTGGATAACAAAGACATTTCTCTCAGTCACCTGTTTGTGTTTATGAAAAACAAGGTACTAATCAGTGTCAGTGCGCCCCAGGGCAGCTGTGGCTACAATGTTGTTTCCCATCACCAGTGTGTGAATGTGTTTGTGAATGGGTGGACTGTATGTAGTGTAAAGCACTTTGCGGTCCTTGGGGACTAAGTAAAGCGCTATACAAATACGGGCCATTTTCCATTTAATACACAGTCTGTGATTGCTCCACATTGTTAGTTTACTCTGCCTGTCTGTGGGTTTTTGTCCAACTTGGAGTGAACAAAAGCAGAAACAGTAAACCGTGAAAGTCTAGTTTATTTCATGAATACAAAAGAAAAACATTTACAGTCAGCAGAAAAAAGATAAAATGGATACTGCTATATAACATGGACAGTCAGAAGTAAAATTCATTGTCTTACCACTTAAGATATGTTTTAACCTTAAAAAGAAAAACACACTGAAATTAGTTTCTGTATTTGCCTGTAAGTCTTGTATACAATGTGGAATGTTAAAACATTTTCAGCGGTCCCCAACCCCCAGGCCATGGACCGGTACCAGTCCATGAGTTGTTTGGTACCGGGCCGCGAGAGTTGAGGCTTGGGCGTGAAATTTATGGTTTTCATTAACTCTCTTTCCCTGGGTCTTTTTCCCATGTTGTAGTTGCGTGTCTTATTTTGATAGAAACATCTACATGTTACCATAGTGACCGGAGAGCATTAAGGGGCAGAGAGGAGGATGTTGCTCTCAATCTTGTGGGCGCATTTCCGGAGGACGCTGCTAATAAAGTTACACAATTACACGGTGAAATCACGTTTATTATTTTATTTACAAAATTCCACAGTGTTTGTCTTGGTCGTATCATTTTATTTTGTTGTATTTATCTGCCTTAAAAGTCAGTCCATGAAAATATTGTCTGACATTAAACCAGTCCGTGGCGCAAAAAAGGCTGGGGACTGCTGCTGTAGATAGTTAATAAATCTGTTTTTTCTGTTTTAAAAGTCATATAAAATATACATGTTTATAATCTGGTTTTCA